GCACTTGTCTTCTACGGTGTATTATTTTAATGTGGACACCTAAGAATTTAACCGTTCAAAATTTAATCCAATGGTTCAAAAACACTTGCTTTATTGGTCGGATAAAAGGGCAATTTCTGCCTAACTTTTTCCGGCCAACAACGCCCATTGTTGGCTTACAATAGGGATTACAAATACACTTGAGCTACATAACGCATGTCTTTCAAGCACTGGATATGTCAACTGTGGTTTGTTCTTTGGCCTCTTAGAATTCACGTAATGTGTAATTGCCCACCCTACCGAGCCATTTGATTGGAAATCTGTGGTCTCTTAATCCCTAGAAATGTGATAGAGGCAGATAATAAAATAAGGGAATGCAAGAATCTGTCGTCAAATAGTCAATCAAAACAAGTCATATTTGTGATTTGAGAGACTCAATCTTCACACAAGGATACACACAAACAACCAGTAGAAAAGAATGTACAAAAAAGAGCTATGGACACGAGTTAGATCAAGAAAAAACTGAAATGAGACGCCTTCAAAACAAACAGCAGAAGTAGGTCTCTCTTTGCCGGATAGAAACGTGTCAGCAGCGTAACCTGTGAGCCAGAGCCGCCTCCTTTTGTTCAACAAAGGGATTAAAAGAGCTCATGTTACACTTTGATTAGGTAGACAAAGTAAAATACATAATGTTGACCTCCGAACAATCAGTTCAAACCAATGATTGCCAAGATCCATACCAAACAACGAATCCAACTATGTTAGAGCAAAGTTTAGCCCGTTTGAGCTCAAGCAGCTAATCAGCAGAATTGTCCTCTTTCACATCCATATTCAACACCCTACATGACTTGTCACGGCTACATTCAGGATCGGAGATACTCATTGAAGAACACTCGATTTGATAATCCCTCTCATCAACTAAAGACTTCATATAGGAGCATGGTCGCTCTTCGGCTTCCATATTATGTACAGGCTCCTGCCCTGAACTAAATGACAATTCAAAAGATGACGGACCAAGAGGCTGCGCTCTCATCTGTACAGACCGCAGGAGCGCAGCCCTCCTCAAATCGGCTGAGTGACAAATATCGCTAGGAGATGACGGGAACCGCCCCTCCGAATCTGAACTTCGTTGTCGGGGCTGTGAGCAGGTTATGGTCGCAAGAGCGCAGCCATTTGGAGGATGCGAACTGGTTGAAGGAGCAGAATATAACACACTAAGCGGTTTTTGGCATCTGTACGGAGAGACAGGACTAGAGGGGCCACTATCTGGTTGGATTTGGGAGGAGCTTGTATTTATCGGGGCATCACAAAATCGAGAATCATCCGAGTCTTCTGACATTGGTGAATATTGCAAGGAGATTTCATCCCTGCAAGCCAGCTTGGGAAACATGAGAAGAACGTGCATAATAGAGGGGGAAAAAATCTCTTTTCTCCTATTCAAATGCGGATCAAAATCAGCACAAATATGGAAGAAATGACACCTTTATCAAAATTATAGGAGTGGCCTAATCTAAATAGCTACTTTTCATTAAAAAAAGTCTCTTTTCTCCTATTCAAATGCGGATCAAAATCAGCACAAATATGGAAGAAATGACGCCTTTATCAAAATTATAGGAGTGGCCTAATCTAAATAGCTACTTTTCATTCTGTTTTAGCATTCACTCAATGCTCAGAAGAAGAAGAAGAAGAACTACATAGGAAGAAGCTAGAACTATTTCAGAGGCAATTTTCAATTACACCCTTGTGTTCACCGATCATTGAGACTTAACAACCACTTAACGTCTCTCGCTTGCCACACATTCAGAGAAATAAGGCCAACAATTAAAATCAAGTAATCAACAAAGAGCTTGATCATGGACTAACAAAAGAAGAAATCACCTTAAATAGACGTAATAATAGTATAAGCAAAATGATTGAGTAAGAGTTCTAAACAAGAATTAACCTTAAATACAACATGCCTTCCGATCTGGCTGGAGATTCCATTAGATTCTCAGGCAGTGGGTCTCCAACTGTCAAACCATTCAAACTTGACGCCATTATCTGCACTACCAAACAAGTTTTGACAACTTCAAAGAAGGACGACTTCATACAAAACAAACAAGCAATAACAAAACAAAATTTGAACTTTGACACATGAATTAAATGATATCAAAAAACCAACTTGTCCCTAACCGCAAAAGGATATAATATTTGGATAATAAGTCAAACTTACCCATTTAGAGTTTAAAAGATTTTTTCTTTATATATATTTGGGTGTTAATGCAGAGAGAGTTTCTAATCTTGACCCCACAAGATGGAACCCATCAGTTTAAAATTAAAATAAATCATTATCTAAGAACCTATTTATCAAAAATGAGAATAGCTAATAACAGAGTGAGTTTTTTTTTTTTTTTTTTTGTCGTTTCTTTGATGATTAAACAAAAAGAAAAAGAAAAAAACTTGTGAAATGGTAAGAAAAGAAAAGAAGAACTAAAATTGAACCTGTATAAATAAATTAAAAGAAAAACAAGAAGAAGACAAAGAAAGGGCAAAAACTCACCTCGCTTAGGTAACGCTTGTGAGAGTGCAAATTGTCGAGGTAAACCTCATCCTCGGGATCTCTGCTTCGCTTTCCTCCCGGGGACGACGTCGTACTCGCCGAAGACGACGATGACGATGCTGTTGCCGAGTTCGACTCCGGACCCATCAAATCCCTCGATTATCCAAACCTCAATATCATTATTTTCGATTAAAACGATGTCTGCAAGTTAAAAAAAATAAAAAATAAACAAACAAAAATGAATGTTTGTGTTTTTGGGAACTTGGATTGATTATCTTGAGAGAAATGGATTCAGACAAAAAGATGGATGGTTTTTTTCGCTGGCGTACGGCAACGACGATGAGATCCAGACCTGAATTTTGGGTATTTTCGTCATTTCGGCCAGTACGATTGGGTTAACAACGATCAACACCCTGGGCCAGATTATGTACACAATACCGTGCTATGGGCTAATCGCATTATTGAGTTGAGGCCCAAAAGAAACTAGGACCTTCCCCCCACCCCTTTTTTAAGGGAAAAGGAGATAAATACCGTAGTGTATAAGTCTAAAATTATCCCTACTCTCGATTAAAATCCTTTTTAACTATTTTTAATATAAATATTAATATCAATTATATATTTATTATTAAAAATTATGATATGGTATGTTATTTTTATTTTTGTTCTAATGTATAATGTTATTTAAAATGTTAAATTTATTTTTTCCTATAATTATTAAGCTTTGAAAGTTGTAAAAGTAAACTTTTATTTTTAAAATAAATAGAAAATATAAAATTTGCAATAATTACATGATAAATTAAACATTTTAACCAATAGAAACAATTCCCAAATTTTTTATATGTTATACTTGGTGAGAAATTTATCACAAAATATAGCATATGAGAAATTTAGTATTACATTAGAGTGTTTTTTTACACTCAAATACTAAATTTGCAATTCGCACATGAATTTTACTATTGTATTAGAGATGCTCTTAATCAAATAACTATATTAGTCAAAAGGGTATTAGTTAAAAATAAAGGGTAAAAATAAAAAATTCATGCACTAGGGGTATTATGGGTATTATAAAAGTTTTCATTAATTGTACTATGTTGATTACCGCACAATCAAAAAGCTAAAGTTACATTTGGGCTGCTTCTGATTTTAGTTGTAGATTATTTAAAAATTCTTTAAAAAGTACTTTTGAGGAGATTTACCAAACATTAAAATCAGCTTTTGCTACAAGGATAAGCTGATTTTAAGAGCAAAAAATAATACCAAACTAAGCCTAAATTACCCCTACTATCGATTAATATCCTCTTATACCATCTCCAATATAAATGCTAATGTTATATATTTACCATCAAAAAGTATGATATGATATGTTATTTTTATTTTTGCTCCAATGTATAATGTTATTTGAAATGTTAAATATACTTTTCCCTATAATTATTAAGCTTTGAAAGTTGTAAAAGTAAACTTTTATTTTTAAAATAATTAAAAAATATAAAAGTTGCAATGATTACGTGATAAATTAAACATTTTAACTAATATAAATTAAATGCTAAATTTTTCATATGTTATACTTGGTGAGAAATTTGTCACAAAGTATAACATATGATAAATTTGACACAATAAATAGCTTTACATTAGAGTATTTTTTTACACTCAAATACTAAATTTACAATTAACACATAGAATTATATTTTATTGTATTAGAGATGTTCTTAATCAAATAACTACATTAATAAAAAAGGTATTAATTAAAAATAAATGATAAAAATAAAGATTTGTGCACTAAATATTGAAAATCGACCTTTATTTTCTTCTTTTATATTTCTTGTTCCTCTAATGTAGATTGTTTTCCCATAATTGAGTTGAATTATGATCAGTAGTTGAAGATATTTTTCTTGATTGATTTGTTTAATAAACGGACAGGTGTTTTTCCCCGTTATTCTAACGAGGAAACAAGCAGTAAGGCAAAGACAAAACGCTAATCGAACCAACTGTGCTCGTGATGAACTTGGCAAAAGGCCAAAAAGATAACAAGTAGATTACTCTATGTCATTGGCAACGTTATGTGAGATGGGCAAAAAGCAATGAAATGAAAGCATTTTTAGAACATTCTCCCTTAACGGATAAGAAGTGGACAAATCATTTTTTGTTTAGACCCTTAGTAGTTCATTTCTTCCGTATCTGTCAGAGAAATTTTCTATCACATATTACCACATATCTGCATCTCCACACATTTTTGTTTAATTACAAATTTATTTGTGAATTCTATGATCACTGATTTTAATATGGTCTTACGCAGTATACTTTTATATGTTAATCCCATCCTTTTTTTTTTTTTTTCCTTTTTTCAGTGATAACTGAATTTCTTTTTCTTTTTTTTTTCAAAAAAAAAATAGTTCTTTTTCTCTCCTTTAATTGCTGATTTATGAGACAAAACAGGCGATGATATCAAAATCTTATTGTGTGATAAAAAAAGCTTTAGGAAAGGAAGCCACTTCTTCATGATCTCCCCAAAAGATTTTGTTGTAAAAGGTGTACTTAAATAGCAATTCCCGAATCTCCCGACGGATCTTCTTGGCCCCAATTGAGGAGCATCAACCAACTTAACGGCAATCCACAAATATAAATATCACACACAAGCAACACACGGATTTTTTTAGCAATTGCACGCCAATGTTTCCTCACTATTTCAATGTTTGAGAGGATTATCCTGAATTCCACATATAGAAGTCTACCAGTAGGCCACATCTGCCTTGCATTATTTGATATTTCCTCTCTCGTAACTCTCTCAGAAGCAGTGAAATATCCTTTTCGCTTGGAGACCAAAGTGTCCCAAGAAACAGACCCATTCTTGCCTTTGTGGCTCCAAGTCTCTATAATTAGAGATCAGACTAATATATTATCTTGATACTGATTAGGCTCATGGATCTACAGAAACAAAACCAAACTCCATTATGTCTCTCCTTAAGATTAGAGATGATAAAGATTAAAGACCTTCTTTAGTAGGGTCTCCTCATCGGTAAAATCTTTCTTCCATCGGATCAAAACACATCAAATTAAAAAATATATTATTTAATTTAATTAAAATTAGATCAAATTAAGAAAATACACACAAAAAAACATTTTTTTTTTATACAGATCTAATGCGAAAGAACTCCATAAAGATTAATGTAAAAGCTGAGACCAAAGAGTAAAAAGTGTTGATTTTTGTTAGTCGTACGCTGAAAAGAAGTAATCAAAGGACTGCTAAAAAACACCAGCTAGGGTAAAGGAGGGGGGCCTGGCAATAATGGTCCCAAAGGGGCCAAATGATGGCCACGCAATCAATATAAGCAAGTTGGTGATGAAAAAACACCAAAAAGATTACTAACCAAAGTTCCCAAAAGCGGGTCAGAACTCCGATCTTACACAATAAGGGACATAAATAGACCACGTGGGCCTAACCCCGCCATAATACCACCATGACACGGAAAATTAACACCACTTAACAGCTCGCCTAACTACAACATGACATCTCATGTGGGTCAAGCTTATTCGAAGCAAGAAGGATGGATACTATTGTCATTAGTGAAAATAGCGTGCAATATTCATCACATATATAAAAGAAATAATAATGCTTGGTGGATCAGCCAATACAAGTACAATTACGTCAAAGTCTTGATGTCACAAAATACTATTACAACATAATCTTCATGTCACGGAGAATAAGGATCGGGAGAAGACAAACAGTATGCTGTGGTCCTCCAATAGTGGGGAAGGGCAAACAAAAATCCCAGCAAAGGATCACTCGTTAACATGCGAAAACGCAAAAACAAACGCCTGGCATTGCGTCGTCTTGTTAAAACAGAGCTTTCTGGAAAGTGGCACAACACAACCTATCCTCGTAACAAATTATTACAAAGGCATATTACTTGGCGTTTATAAGGGTATATTTAAGCATTTTTTACCCTTCAAAATTCAGTAGAATATATTATTTTCATTCAAGAAAATCATTCCCACAATTCCATTGCTAGGCGCGTCATTTCTTCAAAGAACAAAATGAAAAAAAAAAAAAATCGAAGATGATGATAATCAATTACCTTTAAAAGGAAAATGCAATCATAATACAACGATTAAGTTTCCAAAGAAAATAGAGAATCAGGGAAATACTTAGCCCAGAAATTCTCATCAATCACAGAGCAGTGATACATATTAATCCCCTGTACATAATCATAATCTTAACTTGAGAACATAAATAGATACATACAGATGTTATACTATAATTAATCCAAAAAAAAAAGATATACAAAAAAGCCGGAGATATGTTATGAAAAGTTGAACTTGAACTATCCTTTGGACTTGAACTATCCTTTTCTTTGTTGTCTACCTGGAAGAGACGGGATTCAAGGCCCTGGTGAGGCCGTTAAGCGCACCGTATCCTTTGGAACTGAACCCCAAGCAGCCAAGCAGTCCTTGCCTGTACGGCAAAAACGTCTTCTTCTTCATCTCCTCGGCCTGAGCCCTGTTCGCCGTGTAGTGCAACTCATGCGGCGACGGTGGGACCCTCCGTTTCACCACGCCGTTCGTCGGCCTTCCAGAAACCCCGCTTTTCTTGGCCGAGCCTTGCTTGCTCTGCTTCTTGTTCTTCTTCACCACGCTCGGGTTTTTCTGATCCTGATTTTGCAGAGAATCTTGAGAGAGCTTCTCTTTGTCTTTAGAGGGAGAGAACGAGATCGAGGACCAGAACTTCTCCTTGCCGTTTCCTCTTCCTTCGCTTTTGCTCCTGTAAAGCAGGTCCTTGAGGAATATCCACTTCTTCGAATTTCTTCCCGTGGACGACGACCTGGAAGACGAGGTCGAACAAGACGGCGTGGTTTCAGTCGAAACCGCCTCGCTTTGCAAATCCAGAATGCGCTTGTCCGTGCCGTCTTTAGATTTTGGACCAGCGCAATCTTCTTCTTCTTCATCATCTTCCGCAAGCCACTGAATCTCCGACTTCCTCAGAGGCGAGAGAGATCTGGCTTTCCTGTGCAGAGATCGACTTCGTAGTTTCAGATCTCTACCTCTATTCAGCGACATGATGATCTCTTCCCGTTTTTGCAGCTCCGACTCGTCGTCCTCCTCAGCGTCTAGATCTATCAACGGAGCCAAGATCTGAGGTCTCTGCAAGTGCGACGAGAGCTTCATCGGCCTGATCTGACCGTTCAGAAACAGCTCATCCGCGGAGCTCATCGATCCAGCGGCCGAAGAACCGTTGGGAGAGAACCGAGACGAGAACTCGAACTCAGACGACGAAGGCGCTTCTGACGAATACGAGTACGCAGCGGCGGAGGACGGAGCCGAGGACAGCACGAAGTGCATGGGACTCGCCGGCGCGCTGAAGAAGTAGCCGGAAGCTGAGCCGCCGCGGCCGGGGCTGGACGGCGCACTGACGTACGGAGTGGAGCATGTGGAATCGAAATCGTCGCTGAAACGCTGCGGATCGTTGTCGGTTGAAATCGATCCTCCATTGGTAATGGCGAGAGGCACGGGGTCTTCTTCTGACCCCGGAGACCGTGTTCCGCCACTGTTAGGGTTTTGAAGCATCACCATTATTACAGAGAGAGAGAGAGGGGGGAGAGAGAAAGAAGAGAGAAAAAACTGAGACAGTCACTGACTGACTTGTGTGCCACGCAATTATTATTCAGAGAAGGAGCTCACTGAGCGAGGAGAATGGCATGTGAAAAAGAGAGAGAAAGAAGAGAGAGAATGGGAGGGAGTTAAGCGGTTATGCTCCGTTTGGTTGCTTTTAAATATTTATGGAATATATAATGAATTATGCATGTTTGTTTTTATAACGTCAAGGGACGTCTGTAGCTTATTCCGTTTTGTATGCGAATTGACCAATGTGTCCCTGCATACTGCATAGTTCCGCGAACCCAGCTTGGTGAATTCACCATAACGCCCTCATATAATGTGCTCGTTCCCGCTTCTTCCGCGGATGGCAGGCGACATTGGCAGAAATAATGGTCGACAACTATGTACGATTTTGTTCGCACTTCACGCATATTTCTTCTATCTTTTCTTTTGTGGCAACGGGAATATTATTTTTCCACTGATTAATTTTCTACGCTAATACACAAAGTTTTTGATCATTTGTTAAAATCCTATTGCACTGATTAATGCTTTAAGTTTTATCCGAGTTTAAAATATCTAGCCTTTTATGATGGAATACATTATTTGATGTATCAAAAGAGTACAAGCTTGTTTATTTCACTATTCGAATTATAATTTAAATAATTTAAAATATTTATTATAATGTTTTTTTATAAAAATTTTAATTTAATTTTTTTGTTATAATATTTTTTTTCACATAAATTTATTTTTTAATTTAAATTCTCAACTCGAATGATCGAAAAGAATTATACTTAAATTTATTTAACCATTCCATTAAATTTTGAAGGTTTGATTTATAATTATTCATGTTAAAAATGGTAATAGTGTACTGTGCGTCACAAATGTAATCACATTACGTTCATATATTAAATTGTTTGCTTATTACATATTTATTGTAGTGGTTGGAACTAAATTCTTCCCTATCAATCTTTTTATTGTGTAAATATTGTAATAAAATTGATTCTCAGAAAAGAAATAATTGTAGTGAAATAATTTTGGGTGCGAATGTGTGTTTGCATCATAGTTTTTTTTCTTAAATGATTTTTATTTCAGTAACTTTCACCCTGTAGATTTGATTTGTAATCAGGGATTCGGGGACAGAAACGACATTTAAAGGAACAAAAGCCAAGGGTAAAGAGGGTTATTTACCGGGTTGTAAGTAGCCCTTTCGTCGTTTGGGCATGTGAGATCATCAACCGTGTGAATCCAGGCTAATCAACGTTTTTCTTTACGAAAAAAAAAAAGGGCAAAAAAAAAACAACTTTTCAGTGAAGACGTGGCGGCACGTGCATGCCATCGTCTCCGATATGCTTATTTTATCCTATTTTTACTTTTTTTTAACACTGTTTATTTGCTTTTTAAATTATTATTGTGCAATCTGTATCTGAACTGAATTTAATGATTAATTAAAATAATTTGTACTTTTTCCATAGCACAAGGCACAAGCCATAATGTCTATTGGCGTCACATCGCCCTCTCCCCATCCCTTAGTCGGTGACGTCGGTCCTCGGTGAAACCACAAGCATTTTTTTTTTTTTTTTTTTTTCATTTCTCTTGGGTTGGACCGCAAGGGAAAAACGGGTCAGTTGCTGGGCTGGGTAGTAATGGGGTTCATAACTAAAAACCCCTTATAATGGTACCAATAAAGATTTATGGGCCTTAACGGGCTCGAACTAATTTGAAATTGAGATGTGATTTTATACGATAAATTTTTAATGTATTAAAAAGTTATATGTGATTATTTTTTAGATATTTTTTTTACTGTAGCATATTAAATTTTAACCATTTAGAGTGAGTAATTTAACATTTTGTTATAGATAATTTGACAGATATCTCTAGAAAGATGTGTTTAGAATCAATTTTTACAATTTTCTCTAACCCCGAAATTCATCTATGGGCTCTTGGATTTCATTTAGCCCAATATTAAGTTCAACAATTTTCTCAAAAAAGTAAGGAAAAAATAGATAATTTTTTCTTAAAAGTGTATGAATTTGAACTTTTATCACATACTCTTAATAAATGTTTTTTTATTAGTGTAATTATTTAACTAAAAATATTGTGAATAAAAAATAAAAGATAAAAATCTTGACATATACACTTTTAAGATGTATTTGTTAAGATTATCTAAAAAATAAAGAATCAATTATGTACGATGTGTTTCCTTTCTTGGGCAGCTTCTGTGTTTTTTTTTTTTTGGTTGTTCATGCCATATGTACTATTGATATGGGGGAAGAGTAGAAGATCGACTATTTTATTGCAACTCTTATATCAAGAAACGTTCTTGAATTTCCTATATATCTATTTGTATTCTTTTTTGGGAATCAATGATTGTGAAGTTAGGAACGGATATTAACGTGTGAAATTAAAAACTCAAATTAATAAATTAAACTAACCTTTAGAGTTTTTCTTTAAGAAGATTTTATATGATCTGCAAAACGATTGTCGTTTTAAGTTTTATTGTATATTTTATATATTTATATTAAACCTTAAAAGAATCATATGTGCAGCCGGATCGGGGTATTACGGATTTTGCACACTCAAGCCCGCACTCCGGCCCGCAACTTTTTGCATGGGCCCTTATAAAGCCGAAGAAAAAAAATAAAATTTTAAAACCAATATTTTTAGCCCATTTCGGCTCGGGCTGGCCAGGTACCTTGGATTTACGGGTTTTATTTACAGCCCTACCTACAGTAATGTAGGGATAATTTTTAGACCTTTTAATTTGATTTTTCATCTGCCACATGGTGGAAAAATTCACACCGTTAGGACCCATAGTAAAGGTCAATCCTCCTCTATTTTCTGTGGCACATAATGTAAATATCTCCAAATCCTACGGGTTAATAAAATGAACGCCCATTCAGTAAATTAGAAGAGTAACCATTATTTTTTATCATTTTATTGTTTATGTCAATAAAAAATATTTTGATAGATATTTCAGTAGAATATGAAAAATACCCACCAAAAAAATATTATCGTAAAATATAAAAAATATCTTACATGAATATAATAATATAAATGATAAATTTAAAATTAATAACAGAAATAAAATAATGCTATTTTTTAATAGCAGACTTGAAAATCTTCCAAATAAGCCAAGCTTATCAGCAAAAAAAAAAAAAAAAAAAAAAAAAAACGTACTGCACCCTAATGCCATTTTTATACTAGTATTTTTCAATCCTTTCGCTATAGAAAAAAGTTTAGAATTGGTCACAACACAACTAAGTCCAAAAACGTGTTACAACTTGTGAATAACTAAAAACTTCCGTGAATAAATTGTGATAAGTTTTAACAAAAACTTATGCATGGAAAAAAGTTTAGAATTGGTCACAACACAACTAAGTCCAAAAACGTGTTACAACTTGTGAATCACTAAAAACTTCCGTGAATAAATTGTGATAAGTTTTAACAAAAACTTATGAATCAAAAGTCTCTGTCGCTTAATATTTAATCACATCCAATTCCATTATTTTACGTAATAGTTTTAACGATTACATTGATAATAAACTGTCATAAGCTTTAAAGCAATAATATTTAGTTAAGAAAAAAAGTAACGATCCGACTAAAAATTTGTAAGAAAATGTCCACTTCTAAAAGTAACATATACCTTTTGTTAATAATATTCGATTAAGTCTAAATTAAATCGACCACCTGGAAGCATATGTTTTGTGTGGTTCCCTTTCTCCACGCAAGAATCTTATTCTTGATTAAGATGACCATTTTCTAATATCACAAGCAAAACATGTAATTATGATGATAATTAGTCTATCTCTCTCTCTCTCTCTCTAAAGCAAAACCCATTTTGTTTTTTTGGTTATTTGTTAGTTTGTTTAAGCAAAGTCACTTTGCTCCGTTCTTTTCGCTAATTCGAGTTTATAATTCAAATTTTGTTACAGTAAAAAACTCTCAGAAACAGTCGTATTTAACTTTTTTATTACAATTATTATGATTTTTTGAGCATTGGTTCCTGAACTTTTACACAGGCGTTGTTTGGTCCTTTTTTTTTTCGCCTATTAGTGCTAAAAGGTTTATTCTTAAGCTTTTTTCTTTTTTTCATCTTAAAAATGATGATCGATTTAAAAAATATAACGGAGCTAATCATGATGTGTGCATTGGTGATAACTTGAAGGTTTGTAAAAAGTTGTATGTTTTAATTTCGGGAGTTTGCTTATAAGGTAATGAAGATAACACGTTTGCTATATTGTGCAATAGCTTTTCTAAAATTTCAAGAGGTTTATGACAGTTTAAATTTGGGCACTAAAGTTTTTTCTTTTTTTTTTTGAGAAAAAAATCCAAATAGTTAAAATAAGGATTGTTTTTAGCGATTGACAAAAAAGTTAATTTGTTAAAAATAAAAAAGTTAATTTCAGAATATAATGGGTGCGTTTGGAATTGATTCCAAAACGTTTTTGTTTTCTGTACGAAAATGAAAATGAAAACGTTTTTAGTTTCATTTTTGAATTATTTCTGAAAATGCGTTTGGTAGTTTTATTTAGAGATTGATTTCAGTTTTAAAAAAAAAACTGAAACTGCGTTTGGTAGTTTAATTTTTAAAAACATGTAATAATATATTAAATAATAATATTATTAAGTATATTATATAAATAATATTATTAAATATATTAAATAAATAACATTATTAAATATATTAAATAATAATATATTAAATAAATAACATTATTAAATATATTAAATAA